CTCTCTCTCTCTCTCTCTCTCTCTCTCTCTCTCTCTCTCTCTCTCTCTCTCTCTCTCTGTGTGTGTGTGTGTGTGTGTGTGTGTGTGTGTTCATCCCAACGAGAATGAATGCTCCTCGTTATCGCAGAGGATTCATTCTCGCTGGGACGTTCACAGAGAGAGAGAGAGAGCATCGCCACACCACTCTCGAAATGTGAATAAGACAAACATAGGGTGGGTGCATCTGCCGATGTTCTAGCGGCAAGTTCATTCTCATTTTGCACATATCTAGAGTGGTGGGGCGCGATGCACAGTGTCTGGTGCCGAGTTCGGCACACCAAACTCGGTGTTAGACTCTGTCTGACACCCTCTCTCTCTCTCTCTCTCTCTCTCTCTCTCTCTCTCTCTCTCTCTCTCCAGTGAGAACGAATCTTTGCGTTGTCGTGGAAGATTCATGCTCATTGGGCATGTCTGATCTTTTTTTTTTTTTTTTTTTGGCAGAATGTTGTTTGTAATGAACCCAGTCTGGAGGAAACTCATCAAATGTCGAGATAAGAGATAACTCAGCACTGATATTGTCCCCAATAATCATGAAATGTGATCTGTGATACAATGTCTCGTTACCAGAGGATGAAGGAGGCGAGGGGGAGAGGAGAGGGTTGAAGAGAAGGTATCTATCAATGTCCACGTAGATAGAAGCCCCTCGTTCCCCTCTCCTTCTTCGGGCATTCCCCCTCCTCCACATCAGCAAACAGTGTCGCAGAACGAGCCTGACCAGATCTGATCACAACGATGTGCCATGTAAGCACAGTTCTCCCATGAAGACATCACAGCAGTGCGCAATGTTGGCATCAGCAACAGGTAAGTTTCCTCTCTCTCTCACTCTATCAACCTATAGATCCCGATCTCCCTCCTTGTCACGTCAAAATCAGCAATGAAGACAGTGTGGCATGTGCCACGTCAGCAAGCCAGAAGACAGCTGGTGCCAGCACGCAAATGCAGCAGTTTCGCATCGTCGTTGCACAGTGCCAGCGTCCAGCAAGCGTCAAGCCCTATATATATCCTGTCTCTTATACACATCTAGATGTGTATAAGAGACAGTCGTTGCACAGTGCCAGCGTCCAGCAAGCGTCAAGCCCTATATATATCGTCAAACAGAGCTGCCTGGTAAACCGTAGGCAGAGAGGGAGAAGCGGACAAGAAACAAGGGGGAAAAGAAACAAGGTGGACAACAAACGAGGGGCTGTGACAAACTGTTTCGTCAGAGTTTCACCTACCGACTCATCAGGAGGGTGAACCCTCGACAGTCTGCAGAATCCCCTAACCGATTACACTAAGTGATAATCCACCTTAACCCTAGTTGTGGTTTAGCATCAACGATTGCCCGACAACTGATACCTTGAGGTAGTGGGGACCACCAACCACTGCCCTCGACGTACCTGTGACAAAAATCAAAGCAGACTATCACTCACCCACAACAGACGGAAAACTCTACAGACTGTCGGGTTCACACCCCATCACAGGCCAGCAAAACACCCACGAAACAAAGAAAGGTCGGTCACAGCCCAAAAATACACTCTAGACACGCCGCTGGAATTAGAGACACGGCATGGCCGCGTAGTGATGGCCCCAATCACTGCCACTCGATGTGACCGGAGAAAACCGTAGCAGGGTGTATAAAGGATGGAGCGCAAGAGACAACAATTACATAGAACTCAAAAACTTAGCTGCACCACGGGACACAAAGGTCTCCACTAACAAGAAAACACCACGCCCGCAATTGGTCTTAAAAAAACTTCTGAGTCGTCACACAAATACAACAACGCTGGGACTAGAATCCATCCCAAACTTGAAACTACCCATTCACATCGCCAGACAACCACCCTTCCATTTGCTGTCTGGCCCCTGGAGTGCATGGAGTACCGTAATCCCGAACTCCGCAAGATCTCCAAACGGCACCAGGAGGGTGGGCTAGTGCTTAAGAGTTAAAACACCCAAGAAGCATTTCCCCATTTCTTCCACGTGCTCCAAAAGAGCAGCCCGTGGGAATGACACCCACAGCAAACACTCTCTCTGAGGCTCCTCGCAATGTAGCCAAGACTCCAAACGCTCTGAAGCACGGCAAGGAACTGGGCCGTGAGCAACAAACAAAACATCCGTCCACAAAAGACGAATAGCTCACTAATACAAGTCTGATCCTAACCGCTCAATGTGTGTGTGTGTGCGTGCGTGCGCGCGCGCGTGTGTGTGTGTGTGTGTGTGTGTGTGTGTGTGTGTGTGTGTGTGTGTGTGTGCGTGTTGTGTGGTCATGCTCCATATACATAACTCCACAAAAGTGACAAAACAAACATACATGTGTGTGAGTGATAGAGAGAGAGAGAGAAGGGAGAGAGAGCCTGTTCCAGGCAATGGGCCTCGTGGACGCGCACACAAGCACACACACACACACACACACACACACACACACACAAGCACACGCGCACACACCCACACCCACACACACACACACACACACAGGAGAGAGGCCAAGAAGTGCATCATCTGTCAAACTCCGAGAGCTCTCACGGTCAAATGAGACGTTGCTTTACGCAAGCAAACATTATGGAATCTCGAAATTTATTTACCCCGCCACTTACTTGAACATTCTGAGATTGAGGAGAGACGCAAGTTCAAGGGGCTACGAAGAAGACTAAATCGGTTACACTATCAACCTAGTATCAAGCCTCCCATTGGCAATACCATTCAATGAAAGAAGAGCAGCTGAACTATGGAAGCAGAGCATTCACATCCCATAACTTTCTCTATCACCTGCCATCCTAGCGCGCGCTGCCACGACACTTAGCCCCTCAGTTGCTGTTTCAGCTTCTTTTCTTCTGCAAACCTGTGAACGTTTTCTGATCAATTGAAACCCAAGACGAGTCTTCCAATACCTCACGCAATAGAGAATGTACCAGTCAGAATGCCAAGGGAATGACAGAAACAGTAAATCACAACAAATATGGGGACAAACTCGTATCCCTGCCCAGCCATTCACATCCTCTATGCCTGGCATAGGTCGACAAGATTTGACAACAGGAAAAAAAAAAAAAAAAAAAAAAAAAAAAAAAAAAAAAAAAAAAAAAAAAAAAAAAAAAAAAAGAAAAGAAAAGAAAAGAGGCACAGGGAAAACAATACAGTCATACTGCCCGCCCCTGCTATCTTCCATGTATTTCTCTCTTGCCCTTGGTCCAGCGATGTATTTCTCTCTTGTCCTTGGTCCAGCGATGTATTTCTCTCTTGCCCTTAGTCCAGCGATGTATTTCTCTCTTGCCCTTGGTCCAGCGTCAGTGACCGCGAGGCCTTGCTTTTATGTGGAACACTGAAAACCAAGATGGGGAAGCCTTGCGGACATTTGTCTGGGTGATAGTTTTCCTCAGATATTGTTGCCATCAGTCGTGGAGACAGGAACAGACCATGAACATGGGAAGGATGAGCATGAAGAGAGAGAGTAACGTGTGTAGTTTTTTTTTTCTTAACAGGGGGGTCAGTAAGAGGAAGGCTTGAAGGAGGGGGGGGTTAAGAGTAGCTTGGCAGCAGGTGTCGGTCTTGGAGGGCGAGTGGACACAGATCGCCGGAGTGCATGGGATGTCACCATCAACTGTAGAGGCGAGGCAAGTTTTTGTTTTGTTTATAATCAATTAATATAAAAAAAAAAGAGGCACAGGGAAAACAATACAGACGTACTGCCCTGAGAGAACGAAGGAGCATGACAAAGAAACCGCCAACACTCCAACGGCAACAGAACAGGTAATAAATACCTACTTTATCTGAACAGCAGATTGGAAAAGGCAATTCACAACAATTTGATCCCATCTACCAAGATCTCAATCATGTAGGTCACCAGGGCAACCGGATATGCCAAACAGTCTACGGATACGCTGAAGCCGAAGAACATCAATTGAAGCTGCGTACCAATGGCGACGTCTACCCCGCGCTCCCCCAGGAAGAACATCAAAAACAGCTCCAGTCGCTCAAACTCTATCTGAGGACCCATTTCTTGAATACGCTGCCCATCCTGAAGCAGAACACATTCCTAACCTTGAAATCCTCCCAACATTACCGCCATCATTGCCGCCAGACAATCTCTCTCTCTCTCTCTCTCTCTCTCTCTCTCTCTCTCTCTCTCTCTCTCTCTCTCTCTCTCTCTATCTATCTATCTATCTATCTATCTGTTTGTCTGTGTGTGTGTGTATGTGAGTATGTGCACACGAATGTGCATGTCCAAACTGATACAAGGTACGCATGCCACATAGATCAACCATCTGCAGCAGTAGCAATGTACTGCTGCTCATCACAAACAAAAGAGACTCATGTCCTCAACGTCCATGTCAGCTGGTAAAACACCAGCGGAACAAACTTCAATCAACAATTGCCTGACGCAAAGTGGTCTTCAAGGAGCGCAAGAGACACGTTTTGAACAACTTGCAATAATTGGTGACAGTCCGCATCAAAGCCACTTCTCACTGTCGGCATCTTCTTATCACCCTCCCGGGCGCCTATCACTATCTCAACCGTCCAAAACATTACAGCCTCAATCCAACAGAGGGGAACTTTGCTCATTCGCATTTTGTTCTTGCGCATCAGCATTACTAGCGACTAAAAGATGAGGGCAACCACATCCCATCACGAACTGAAAGACGACACTTTCCTCGTACTGGACTCCCACAAAAGGCATCTTCGCCCCAAGGAAGATGGTGCAAGTCCCACAGATGATGTAATTCTCACCAAATGTATGGCAGTTGCCGAGCAAACATCTAACTACCTCCCAAACTATCAACCAAGCCCCCATGCTCCAAAGGGGACGTTCAAATGTCTGCCTTCCCAGAAAGTGTGCTTGCTGTTCACATCAGCATCAAATCTTTGCATACAGCTCGATCAAATCCAATTAACAGCGCAATGGCCTACAAACTCCACATTTCAGGAAAATCTTCCCCATTCTTCTCTCTCTCTCTCTCTCTCTCTCTCTCTCTCTCTCTCTCTCTCTCTCTCTCTCTCTCTCTCTGTGTGTGTGTGTGTGTGTGTGTGTGTGTGTGTGTGTGTTTCTGTGTGTTATAAAATCACGAGTATCAACACCAGATCCACCCAATGCGTGCACATGCGTGCATGAACACCAGGTCCACCTAACATGTGTGCGCGCACATGTGTGCATGCATGCACAGGCTGTGCTGTGACTCTTCACAGGATGAAGAGTTCATCCACCATTTACCTGAACAACCCAGTTCACACCACACCCACCAAGTCTGTGAGAACAGAGCCACCAGAAGAGGAGCGCCGATATGAAAGCAGCCGCATACACATCCTGCACCCTGCACATTGTCGTTTGATTGGTCAAAACCAGGGTCGCCAAAAGCCATACGCACGACCTCTTTCCAAGCACTGGCTCTGCTGATTACCCTTGCAGACCCCACCCAACAGTGTCTAGTCAACTGAGAAGAGAGAAAATTACACTGCATCAGTGACCGTCAGCCGTTGCGAAACAACTCTCCGAATCACATCAAATCTGCTGTGAAACTGCCCCACCACAGAATGGGCGTCTGAGCATATCCACATTTTCGTTCTATCCACGTATTGATCTTCATTTTTCAGCACCCCCCCCCCAAAAAAAAATGTCTGAGCATCCGGGCTGTGCACTCCATTCGCTGTGCACCGACATGCCGTCTTAGCCGAAGCATACCTCTTTGATACATTGCATGATTGTCCTCAGTCCTGCGCTTGGACTTCGCACCTCTCAGACGGCCCAGACAGTTGCTACACCATGCAGTGTTCACAGGTCATCGGGTCTATATACTAATTGCCGGATGAGAAACAGCTACATACAGCATTTCATGAGGTAAGACAGAAACATCTACTGCTGTAGTAGATCTTCACCAGCATGCTCAGAAAGAGCTGGAATCTGCCTGCCCGGTACATCACATAAGGAGTGGACTCTGAAGATCACATCCCTCTCTCCGGGAGGAGTGTGATTTCGTCAACGATCCCCTGCTCAGGAAGTTGTGCCGGTGGGCCTGAGGACACCACACTGCGGACCACTGGCGATAGGTGTAAGCCACAAAACCGTTCTTCGACGATCAGGGGAACCTTCCTCAGTGAGTGCCGCTGGCATGGCCGCCTTTCTCTGCCGCTCATCGACAAGGCATCGATAGCTTAAGGGCGTGAAAACAACCACAGGTGCCCTGCATGTTTTCTACCCCACCAGCTCACAGAGAGAAGCGCTGCACGTTTGACATCAGTTAACAAGTGCCGCTTATCCACTAGCTCAGTCGTGAACCTCGTCCTCTATCAATATTCTCTTGCACGCCTCATAGCACATAAACGATATCCCACATGCTGGCATGAGCTTCATACAGCTTGCTCCTAGGCCTCTGTACAATCCTGCTGGTCCCTGCTCCTGCAATATGTGACTAATCACCTGAAACATGTTCTTGTAGACTTGCCGGCCACTCACGGCCCCCACTTGCATGTGCTTCCTCGCAACTTCAAGAGGAAATGTTGCCGCACTCGAGATCACCCCCGCAGTTGAACCCATCAGTAGGGTTTCCAAATTGCCTATCTGCTGTTTTTTACTCAGCCGCCTGTACGTACTTCTCAACGTGTCGTACGCACAATAATTTATGGCCGCATATGGTACCACACCCATGATACTGGGAAGAAGACCTCGGTACAGCTCCATGGGTCCTTCCGTTTGCCATATTTTCACGAAGGCATCCAGCATGTTGTCGTACATTCCTTTCTGCAATTCCCAAAAGAATCAACGAGCAATCAAAGACTATTAAGACCAAAGTATTTGCACACAATTACAAGACAAACATATGTGAAACAAACTTACGCCCAGTTTAGACAGCACACCTCCCTCTTTCGTTGATGTTCACTCGATCAACGATACAGTCCTTGGACTGAGGAGCATAGTCACAAGAATAATGCTGCTGCTGCCCCAACGACGACCAGGTAAAATGTTGCCCACATTCGCGCTTTGTCCTTTCCCCACCCCATCAGATTCCCCAAACCTCGTCTACACTTACCCCCTCCCCCCCATCCCCCTCCCCACAAGAGTACCAAAACCCTTCCAACCCTCTCCTCGGCCCGCTTGGTCCTTTCCCCATAAGACTTATACATCACTTCATCCAGTGAACCAGCAACTAACTGTTCCCCCATACAGCTCCATCAACCTATCATCTGAAGAAAAAACGTCCACCTCACGTTTTTTCTTTTTTTTCCCAATCTCAGCTGATCCAATGTCAGAACCAATTGTGGTTCATCCCAAACGCAGATTTAAGAGAAAGAGGATCACAACTATTTATAACTTCCCCTCGGCTTTACAACCCCCCCTCGCATGGTATGGAACGTGCCTTAGTTGGATGACAACAACAGCCCCATGTATAATTACCATCACAATTATAACTTCCCCTCGATTTGAGCAGGTTTTCCAAGGGAACTCAACAATACGAGGCATTTTCTTATTTGGGAAGGGGTTGACCCCTGACTGACCTGGAATGAGGCATGGGTCAGTTCACAGCCTCTCCAAAGTGACCTGACAGAACTGGACACTGCCGACTTCAAGTTCACCCTCCCCCACTTCCATGTCATGTTCACCACTCACACGCCACAATCGCTCGTGCCATTGTATTTTTTAACACCACATTCAATCAGCATAGGCTCAGTCCTCCACCCGGGAGAGAAGTGGATTTCGCTCAGACAGACGGGTTCCCCAGAGAACTACGTAGTCCAGAGGTTCCACAACGTGGCAAAGTCACCATTAACTCACCTGGACAGTTAGCCTGGTCTTCAGGAGCTCGAGAGGGTAAGTACACAAGGTGGAGCACACTCCGGCAGAGGCACCCGCAACTGGGGCGATGGGGAATGGAATCTGAGGGGGCATCCCAGGGGGCGCCAATATCTTCTTCACTGTGTCATACGCAAACAGCTGCAAGCATTTCCACAGAAAGCGATCATTCCCACAGAAAAGAGTACAATCAATGTCTAAGACTACCTTATGCACAATCAGGCACAAACTTAAATAAGCGAAGTTCATTTTTGCAACCGCACAATGCACTGCACAAATGACTACGCAGAAACCCACCACCCAAAACTCTCTCTCTCTCTCTCTCTCTCTCTCTCTCTCTCTCTCTCTCTCTGTGTGTGTGTGTGTGTGTGAGTGTGTGTGTGTGTGTAACACACGCAAGCACAACGCAAGAAGAAAACAAAAAGACAGAAGAACGCAGGTGGTGTGTGTGTGTGTGTGTGTGTGAGTGTGTGTGTGTGTGTGTGTGTGTGTGTGTGTAACACACGCAAGCACAACGCAAGAAGAAAATAAAAAGACAGAAGAACGCAGGTGACATGTGTGTGACAAGGAGGGACTCTGACACACCGACCGCCAGAGTACGTAGGATGATGGACCAGGAGAACCAGTATTGTTCAAATAACTAACAAGCATCAGCAGTTGGTTTTTTCTTGTGCTGTGCTTGTGTGTTGTCATATTCGCTATACACTCAAAAAAAGCATGACTGTACCAGACTGTTTCGTCGGACTTTGTGCTTGTGTGTGTGTGTGTGTTAGAGAGAGAGAGAGAGAGTCCCTCATCCTACGTAAAAAGACAGCACGTAGGATGATGGACCAGGAATACCAGTATGAAGCATGACTGTACCAGACTGTTTCGTCGGACTTTGTGCTTGTGTGTGTGTGTTAGAGAGAGAGAGAGAGAGAGAGAGAGAGAGAGAGAGTCCCTCATCCTACGTAAAAAGACAGCACGTAGGATGATGGACCAGGGATACCAGTATGGTCCAAATAGCTAACAAACGATCAGCAGTTGACAGGAGCGACTTCCGGTGTGTTGAGCTAAGCTACTCAACCATTCCAATGCACAGAGAGACCTCTGCAAAAGAACCCTAACAACGTCTGCCAGGTTTGGCAGGATCGACGACAAAAGGGGAATATCCAGAACTGATCATGCCATTCACTGGCCCTTGCCACACCACTCACCAAATGCACAAAAAACAAAAATTATGGTGGTATACCTTTGCATGTTGAAGAAAGATGCATTCTCGTTTTTCATATTTGTTGAGTGGAGCGGCGAGGCCCAATGTCAGAGATTGGCATAACGAAAGATGGCGGCGCCTTCTAGATGCGCAGAGGCTTCGCTGCCACGCCGGAATGCAACCTTCCTTGGATCACGGGGAACCATGATGCCAATCAATTTTGTTACTGTAAACAGAGCTGCTGGTCAACTTTCAGTGTAGATACAGCAACGATGACCGTGTGTTCGATTCAGGATGAAGAAGTACAGCCACGATGACAGTGTGTTCTATTCAGGATGAAGACGTCCGTAGATAGAATGGGCCTACTTATGTGTTACCTGACATGGCGATCCGACCAGGACCAGGACATCAACGCCGGACAGCTTTCCAAGACTCCCTCCGCGAGGTAGGTGGAGCAGATCAGGTTCGAGGGCCAGGATAGACGCAAAAGTGGTGATAAGAAGAATTGGAATGCTAATTGATGAGCATATGAAGGCCGCGAGATACGAGCAGCCTGACGACGCCAGGGTCTCCGGTCGCGTGCTAGAGTTGTCAACATCCGGCCGTGATTTACTTACGCGAAGTTATACCGGGGCGAAAAACAGAATTAGAAACAGAGAACAATTCACCAACACTGCAACGCTCGCTAACGGGAATCCATTGGAACGGACTCGAGCATCCATCCTCATCCACGTCCATGTACACTTTTTCTGACAGTGGGGTACACTCTTTTCTGACAGTGGGGCCTCGTGATCATGTCCCGCTACTCCTTTCCCCCCCCAGGGTTGTCCGGCGAAGCAAGCAAACGAGAGTTTTAAGCGAAGTTCGGTAGTTAAGGAAATTTATTTTCAGCACTTTATTAGTAGAAAACTCTTCCCCCCCCGGGCACCCCTTCATCCTGATGGGGTAATGAAAAGCCGCGCATATCTTATGCGACTTTTTACAGGAGGGACACTCTCGACCTGTGACTTCAGACTTCTGTTCCAGCACACTCCGCTACCAGACGATCTATTTTTGGCATCCATTCGACTGGATTAAAAAAAAAAAAAAAAAAAAAAAAAGATGTTGCGGTAACCAAAAAAGAAAGCGCTTTCAAAAATAAGGGAAAAGGTAGCAATAGCCCAATTGGGAGCGCCCGAATTTCTTCAGGATGCATCTGGAGGCAAAAGCAGGCAAATTCAGTCCCAATACTATCCACCCTCGAGTCTCCAATCCAAATCTCCCGCCTAGTCCGATCAGGAGTGCAGACGGCAGGTGCACTATATGTACCATGCCCCTGTGCAGGTACTAATTGAACACAAAATCAAACCCTAAAGCTTCCCCAATAAAGAATTGAGATATTACGCCTCGCTCCACTACTCACCACTTGCACAAAAGACAAAAATGATGGCAATGCATCTTTCCATATTCTAGCGGAAGATTCATTCTCATTTTGCACATTTGGTGAGTAATGCAGCGATGCCCAATTACCAGTGTAGAATGGCGCCATCACAATGGGAGAAGCCCTCCCTCGGAGGGTGTTAATGTCACCTCCAAGGGTCGGTCTCCCGAAGATGGGCATGTTAAAACAAACAAACAATAAAAGAGAAAAAAAAAGAAGGGGAATATTTCACCGAAGAGGCAAAACCATAAGTTGCAATGTCCGTGAAGCAAGCTTGACAGCTTCCCGCAGGCGAACCCGAGTGTCGAAGCTCGTATTACCGTCTTCAACCGAATACAACGCCTGGTCATTATCACTGTATTTAGACTGAAAATTCGCCCGAATACAGCTATAATGACCGGGCGTTCTATTCGGGTGAAGACGGTAGACCTGACCTGAGTTGAGTAAACAAATCGGACGAGGAGGAATCACCAGAGATTATCACCGTATTCAAACTGAAAATTGGCCCAAATACAGCTATAATGACCGGGCGTTCTATTCGGGTGAAGACGGTAGACGTGACCTGAGTTGAGTAAACAATCGGACGAGGAGGAATCACCAGAGATTATCACCGTATTTAGACTGAAAATTGGCCCAAATACAGCTATAATGACCGGGCGTTCTATTCGGGTGAAGACGGTAGACCTGACCTGAGCTGAGTAAACAAATCGGAAGAGGAGGAATCACCAGAGATTATCACCGTACTTAGACTGAAAATTGGCCCAAATACAGCTATAATGACCGGGCGTTCTATTCGGGTGAAGACGGTAGACCACCTGAGTTGAGCGAACAATCGGAAGAGGAGGAATGACTGACTGCATGAAATTGGTAAATAAACCAAATCAAGCATTAAAGACATACATACAGCAAGCGTATGCATCCTGTGATCAAAATGGCCACAGTCACAGTTGACACAGCCATACAGAGTAAAGACAGCTTCCGTAATTTCGTCGTAAGTGCCGAGCTGAAATACAGTATACGGCTGTGGTGGCACCACTCACCGAACGTGTAAAATGAGAATGCATCTGCCGCAAGAACGTCGAGAAATGCATCCGCCATATTTGTCTTTCTCGAGGTTGGTAAAGGGTGGGGCGGGGGGGGGGGGGGGGGAGGAGGAACCCAGTTCCCAACCTGGGACGAAAAGAAGGAAAGTGAGAATAAGGAAGAGGCGGCGAAAGGGCCAAAAAAAAAAAAAAAAAAAAAGCGGAGGAAAAGAAAGATTTTGACGAAAATCGCCAACGGATTACATGCAATGCATCCACAAACGCCAATCGGGGAATTTGCCCAACCTTTCAAGAGGAGGGAGGGAGGGAGGGAGGGAGGAAGGGAGGGACAGATGGAGGGAGGGAGCGCCGGAGAAAGCGAACTGAAGGCCGGCACAAGAAATCAGCGGGAAGTGCAGACGGCGATCGTCAGTGACTGCGCGCCGCCTCCAGAGAGTGCTCGCAGAGAGAGGAGGCACACGACGACTTTACTAGAGAGGCAGAGAGAGAGGGCCTCGCTCCACTACGCTCCAAACACGGAGAAAGACAATGAATCCTCCGCTAGAATATGGAAAGATACACCGCCATATTTTGTCTCCCAGACGCTCAATGCCGGCACAGCGTATACACAGAGATGACCAGAAAGCACTGCACCGTGCCAAAGAGACGTTCAAAGGCGAACTGTGAATTACGCGAGGGGATGCAATACGACAGCCCACAATCCCAGGAGGGCACCTGTGATTTCCGAGCGGCCATCCACGACATTTCCCGGGGCCAAGTCCCACTAGCAGCGCCTGAATCTGGACGTGTTTGAGGAAATGTGCAAAAAATCGCGTGGAGTGTCCTCGACCGCACATCTCCACAAACATGTCCAGATTCAGGCGTTGAGGAAACTCAACGCTGCTAGTGGAACTTGGCCCCCAGAAACTCAAACCATGACCCCACTCTTTGTACGGCCCGTTCGACGCGCACATCAGCATCCCATGTGACCACAAGACGTCAGCGCGGGAATGGCGAGGAGGACCGGGGGTGAGAGAAGAGAGAGCGGTTCGAGGACGGGAGAGGAGGGGGCAAAAAGGCGCGGAAGACATCTCTCGTACTCTTAATAAGACAACGACGACCGCGCGACTAGAAAGAGCCATCCAGAGCTTTATTCCTTGAGCCTAGAATCATCATGTCCCTTTCGAAAAGAAAAAGGAACAAAAGATACTGTATGTCGCTTCCCTAGATTGCGCTCCGATCAAATCACTAACGCTGCCTTTCGTCACCGCAAGTGCCCGAGTCAATTACTGTAAAACACCATTGTATATGAACACACAGAACCATTGAACAAACACATAGTAATTGTACATATACAAAAGTAAACAAAAAGAAAGAAGCCGTAAACTCCAACTTGTACATCGAGCGAGCGAAGAAGACTCGAAAAAAAAGAGGAAACGTGTGACACATGAAAGAGAGGAAGGGGGCGGGGGAGGGGAGGGAGGGGGGGGACGCGGGGCTAGGATCATCAGCGCGATTACAAAAGGTGAGAGCCGGGGTGATGAAGGAAAGTCCCCAGCAAAAGAAGTTATTGGGGACAGACACACAAAAAGAGAGCCTATCAATTCCATGACGACAGCAATCGTTGACAGAGAAGAGTCACATCCTCAAGTCCCCAGCGAAACGATACCATGATCACAAAGAGCAACGGAGGGGACAGCAACACACAAAGAGAGAGAGCCTGTCAATTCCATGCCGACAGCAATCGTGGACACAGAAGAATAACATCCTCACGCTCTGGTTGGAGTAACAGCCTGGCCCGGAGAGGAGAAAGGACGAAAGGGAAGTGTGCGAGGAGAGGACAAAGGACAACCCCTACCCGGCGTCATACAAAGGTCAGTACAGAAGGCGTGCGAGGAGGAGAGGGCAAAAAAAAGGACAACCCCTACCCGGCGTGATGCTCAGGTCAGAGAGTAAACAAGAGAGAAGAGAGAACCGGAAGAAAGAGAGGGAAGAAAGAGAGGGAAGAAAGAGAGGGAAGAAAGAGAGGGAAGAAAGAGAGGGAAGAAAGAGAGGGAAGAACGAGAGGGAGGAAAGAGAGGGAGGAAAGAGGGAGGGAGGAAAGAGAGACGAACGGATTGAGAGAGACGGAGTGAACGAGGAAAAGAGAAAGACAAACTAACTTCGATAGCTTTACTTGGAGCAACGCGCAGAACGTTAACGCCGTTGGCTCGAAACAATCCTGTCCATCCTTCATTCTTCATAATGTACACGAAGACATCGTTGACCGTTTTCCCGCCGCTTCCGACCATGAGATGCGTTCTGATCGTCTCAAGCGGTGCCACGGCTGTCCTCGATACAACACCAGCGAGGGCGCCGCTCAGCAATCTCTTCACAGCGGAGTTCCCTACACGGACCCGAAGCTTCACTGCACCTGTTTGAGAGAGAACAGCTGCGATCGGCTTCTTCGCGACAGTGGTAGACGTGGAAGCAGGGGGAGACGACGACGAGGACGAGGAGGCGGAGGAGGAGGTGGTAGAAGAATTCTTTCCCAGTTGTTGCTGTTGATGTCGATTGGTCCCGGACCGAGCCTTCCGCCTCTTCTCTCTCTCCCTATCTGCCTTCTCCGCCGCTTTGTCCGTCTTCTCCTCCTCTATTAGATCTAGATCCTCCTCTCTAAGCTTAATCACTGGCTTTTCCAATTCAAACCCCACCCCGGACTCCGCGTACCGCGGGAGAAAAGCAAGGGGAAGAGCAACAGCCGCGCCATCTTCAACAACGCCCATAGTTGCCGCCGCCGCCGCCGTCGCCGCCGACGGCGCAGTCGCGCGTTGGGCGCCGCCTTGGAGCATGCCAGACAGAGAGACCATGGGCACCGCTGCCATCATATTAACCAATCCGAACTTCCTTAGCGGGCGGTTCAACCGAAGTCGAGCCTCCATTGTCGCTCGTCCTTCTCTTCTCCACCAGGGTGGCGCCGTTATCACCTCTCCCTTTTACCTCGCACTTCTGATGACTCCTTACCCGATTCCTTCTTCCCCTGTCCTCTCCACCTGCTTCTCCCTCCCTCATGACCGCTCCTTCTCTCGCCCAGCCATCTCTGCCGACAAGTCTCTCTCCTCTCCTCCCGTTCGAGAAATGCACGACAAGCTCCCTTTCCGCGCGTCGTTTCTCCGCCAGCTCACCACGCCACCTGGAGCAGCACTCCCGCAAATCTTCTCAACAATCTCCTCTCTCTCTCTCTCTCTCTCTCTCTCTCTCTCTCTCTCTCTCTCTCTCTCTCTCTCTCTCTCACACACACACACACACACACACACACGCGCGCGCGCGCGCGCGCACGTGCGCAGGGCGCAGATACGTAACGAAGACGAAGAGGTTTAATTACTTTCTGAATATCAACATTGCCACAGGTAGGTACCAACCCAGACGTGGCCGCACTTGCTCAACGACGCTCGCTGTGCCGGCCGGCAGTGGAACTGATGTGCCACAGTTGCGGTGGGTACGGAGAGAACGGGAGTGTTGAGCCCGCCGCAAAAGTTAGAATGCCGATGAGATAGCCAGTAGGACCTGCGCTTGTCGTCCTGCGTAAAAGAAAGCCGCCTTTCCACGTAGGGACCCGTCGAAATGACGATCGCGCTGTTACAAGTCACTGACAGCACAGCCAAAACCGAACAGCACATCCCCAAGTTCTCACAGGGCCCTCTCTCCGGGACGTATTGCCACCTGGCTTGTCATAGCTGCGCTCTCGACCTCATCAGCGCCACGATCCTCTCTCTCTCTCTCTCTCTCTCTCTCTCTCTCTCTCTCTCTCTCTCTCTCTGTGTGTCTGTGTGTGTGTGTGTGTGTGTGTGTGTGTGTGTGTTGTGTGTGTGTGTGTGTGTGTCTCTGTGCGTTGGTTTGTGAACGTGCGTATGTCGCGCGTGTGTGTGCAACAACTCTCACTTTCTACTTCCTGCACCGCCAAGCGTTGGCAAGATGCAGTCAAGAAGAGGGAACGGGAGAGTAACAAGCAGGACGCCACAGGAGATAGCACGATCGATCCTCGTTCAGGAAATGCGAGTAGTAATAGGAATGGCTACGAAGATGGAGCTGGCCTTCGAACGAGCCGGGTGATAGATACTGCATGCAGACTGGAAAGAGTGATCATGCAGCTAAGCCAAACTGACGAAGACGGCCCGAGGGGCGGCAAAGCTAATCATCTCTCGTTAAGCAACGTGGCTGGCTTGCCTCCTCCTTTCCCGCCGTCACGGACCACCCCCGTCCCGCTCATTACCTCGACAACGGCGAATTGACACCGAACGATTACCCCGCCCTTGTACCGTCGACAATTGACCCGGACCGATAAATGCTGTTCCGGACCGATAAATGCTGTTAAGTTTCGGTTGGACAAGACGGCTGCCTTGGGAAGCAAGTACGGTCCACGTCACCCACCTACAGCACAACCACCAAACGCCACAACAACGCTCTCTGGCTGCGCGGGAGCTCCCCCGGCATGGCTCCACACCGCTACCAGAACCTGCCCTCTGCCGCCGCCCTCCTCCCTTCACTGCGGGCATTCGACTGCGTAATCAGAGAGCACCAGCCACCTCCAGCAGCGCGATGCGGTGCGATCCGCACTGCGGTGGCGGCGGGTAAAACTCCACCGCCGCAGAACTACCTAGCTGCTGGCATCTCTGGAACAGGGGTTATGGCTACCGTAGTCCCCCGAACATAACGCAGCCTAAAAATGAATGTATACAGCCAATATGGCCAGATACCGCCAAAATAAGGGTGCTTTGTGTTAGGGGGAAGACGATAGCCTCGGGTACCTCCCGGAGCTGCTGACGAGTGGGTGGGCCTCTTGCCTCGGCAGTGTTCCGCCTAACCGACCAACCGCCCGTTTCCTCTCAGGAAACATGGGAGACATGCGGAAGAAAAAAGGTACAAAGCAGAACAAAGGGTTTTGGTTTTTTTTTTTCGTTTTTGTTTTTTTTTCTTTTAGAACGAAGTTTTTTTTTTTTTTTTTTTTTTCAGGGTAAGGACATAATAATCACACTAGGACATAACTGCGGATTGGTTCAAACTCGAGAAACACTCGGCCTCCAAGGAACTTGCCACCTCGGTCTTTCGCAAGAAGTGGGCCCCTCCCTTCCAATGGGCAGATTTCTCAGATAACCACAGACTCTTCTATTCGGATCTTCTTTGGGATCACCATACTACCAGTCCTTGAACACATAGCTATATCAGACAGCCTACTCACTCTGTAGCTGAGACGGCCTGAGCTTAACTCCCAGGATTTCCCTCCCTTGCTCCCCTCACTTGCTCCCCTCCCTTGCTCCCAGTCCTGATTACCTCATGTATAAACGGAACCAGATATTGTTCCTGTACTCTCCCGGGTAGATTGTGGGGACCCCGGCCCCGTCTGTGTTACCATCTGTTCTATAAGGGACGCTGGGCCCGGTTCCCAGCTTGCGCCGCTCCCCACAAATAGATCGGAGCATTGCTATTTCAAATAATAATAATAATAATAACAATAGCACTTTCAACAATGCATCTGATTCCAATTACGGACAAACCTGGATGCATCTGACGGCAATCACGTCCATGAATAAGCAAAACAGTCCTGGTGTGAGTATGCCCTAAGGCGGAGGTTACGGACTTCCAATTTCTTTCTCAGGGGGTACGCACACTACCGCTATCTTCAATGTACGTGACCACATTTACGGCCGGACTTATATGCATATGGCCGCAGTCCCGTCCAAAAATACGTGAAAAAGTGCAAGTGTGAGTATGCGCTGAGAAATCACTGATTAGCCAACGGGCTTAGCACAGTTGGTACACCCATAAACTGTTCAAATTGGTAAGGTACAGAAGTTGCATTCAGGAGGTTGTGGGTTCTATCCCCATGGGCTCACGTATGTCCCTGGGCAAGCTTGCTTGGTGTTGAGATAATGCGTTGGGCCCCCCAAGCCAGCGTTGGCAGGACCTTGGCTGATGTTATTGGCTGCTATGCAGCGACAATATTGGCCATTAGACACCGCCATGTTCGCAGCCCGTCAGGGGTGCGTTTCCCCCCCCCTAGAACATTTGTCGGCGTCGTTCGTTATACCGTCGTTGGAAGGCTGTAAAAACAAGGCATGGCAGTTTAAGGGGGGGGTGGCATCTTATTTGAAACTGCAGGACCGGTAGCTGCCCATGGGACCGCACGGGTTTTGGTCCAGGACCGCGTAGGACCGGTAGCTGCACGCAGGAGACCACAGTCCTTTTTCAAAATTGAAACAGTGCGGGTCCACTTTTCTCGAATAGCAGAGTTTCTCGAATAGAAAACGCACGCGTTGTATTCGAATACAACCTGTACCCTTTTTATTCGGATTTTGAAAAGAAAAAACTATTGTATTCCGATAAAATTACTTCTTCTTTTTGTTGGAGCTCAGCACCTGCGTTGTATTCGAATACAACATGTACCCTTTCTATTCCGATTTCAAAAAGAAAAAACTATTGTATTCCGATAAAATTACTTCTTCTTTTTGTTGGAGGTCAGCGTCTGCCCTTGTGCTCC